TATTTCTAGCGCCATTTCTGGTGTCCTTCAAACTTCGGTTTGAAGAGCGGATGCATCACGGTATGCCTGAGAAAAAGCACGTGGATGTGGCGCGTATCCTTCACCGACCAATCGGAGGGCTCGCAGCGCACTAAAGCTGATGTGCAACGAAGTGTATGTCTATCTAGCTTTAATAGTGCTCTCAGCAGAAAGCAAAATGAATGCCGAAAGAAATGGTTTGCTCTCATATCGTTGTCGCTAGGAAATTAAAATAAAATTAATTTAACCATATCCTTCAATTACGTTTGTTTTTCGTTTCTCTGTTAATATTCATGTCATTCTAAATATAATTACTCCATAACAGATGATGATGCAGCCAAGCAGAGAAAAAGGGATTTTACCAAAAATTACCTTGTTCTGTAACAAGATAAACAACGGATTCAAGTTTGTCAACCAACATTACTGAGCATTTTTGGTGAGTACAGTGTATGTGTAGGCTTTAACCCATCAACACCTGAACGCGCCCATGCAACGTGCATTTCTAGACCTCCGGCCATACGTGCCTATGGCACGCATAAAATTAACGGCTAGACTAGGTCACTTTCAATTTTCCGCATTGATCCCTGGGCGACGCGCCATAATCCAAAAAGTTTTTCTCTAGAAATGATGTTGTGACGTAGTCATGGACACGTATCCGCCCGCACTAAAATGGTTAAAAAAAACTTGTCTTAGCTTACCAGTCCTCTTTAAATTTCAGGTATTAAGAGAGATCGTGTCTCGAATATTGGCTGAAAAATGGACAAGCAAGATCTGAGAATAGAGCGCTCGCAATACGGAAGAACGAAATGCAATGAAGCATTCACACTCATATCCAGTGTTTTACGTACCAAGCTTGTCATTATGCTCGATGTGGAGCACCCGGCAGAAGGTACCTACCGACTGACCTAAGTGTGGCAAAGATGCACAGGTTGTTTTGGATCAAAATCATGCTCGAGTTTCGTATGCCTTATATCGGAGTGTATTTATGTACAACTTTAACTTGGCATTTGGGCACCCAGCGAGTGACATCTGTTCGACCTGTGTCAAGTTTCGCATTGAAATTAAGAATCCCGAACTGGCATTGGATGAAAAAAGGCCATCATTCACATGCTCCATAGGCGTCGTGAACGTCAATTTTATGACATACTAAATGACGTCGGCAATTCATTCACGGTCTCTTTTGATATCATGGAGAATTTAGTTTTGCCAAAGTCTCCCATAGGAGAAACCTATTACTCAAGACAGCAATTTCTCTATGTCTTTTGAGTCGTCAACCACCGTGGAAGGGGTCAGTCCCAGGGGAAGGACAACATTTGTTTGTATGTTTGGTTAGAACACCAGAATAGAAAAAATAGCAACATGGTCGCTTCTGCATTGCGACACTATTTTCAGTCTGTTGTGGATATTAGCCAGGTAGAACACCTACGTCTATTTTCAGATTCATGCTATGGACACAATAAAAACATAAATGTTTTGTCTATGCTTTTTGCTATCCAGAGCCAGAATCTGCAACTCATTATCGATTAATTTTTCCCAATCCGTGGCCACAGTTTTCTACCTGCTGATCGGGCATTTGGTAGAATATAACAGGACATCCGCAAAAAAGAAACAATACTACTGGAACAATTCTGAGGAAATACGGAAATGTCAGAGTATGGTAGATGCTGGTACTGTTATGACTTCAAAAGTGAGTCTGGTCAATTCTGTAAATCCCAAAGAACATTCAAAATCAGTGAGGCAAGGGTAATTCAGGTGGCAGGAGAAAAGCTAGGTTTCAAAACGTCCTACTCTGGTGATTTCTGTACCCATGCTGTCCTGAAGAGGTAAAAAGTGGTCTCAGTTCGAACCTGCTCTTGCTGCAGATGTGAACCGTGTAAAACTTGCCAAAAAACAGAATGTTCTTAAACTGCTTGCCGACCTTAGAGAAAATGAGACAGTTCGTAATTTCTATTAGGATGCCCTATCTCATACTGGAGATAAAGCTACTATTCAAGACATTGAGGACAGTGATGAGGAGGAATATGGGGTAGACTGACTTCGACTTTGACTAGGCGATTTGCGATTTAAAGCCAAGACTAAGCACCTGGCTGGCTGGTCGCCATCATAAGCATTACCCTAGACTATTCGTACTCTCGGTCATGGTCATAAATGTCGTTCTGTTACTTTTAATTTAATAGTTGAATTTTCAGTTTCTAGTATTCATTGCAAAGAATTTGACATTATCAATGTTGTAATTGTCTGTGGACTTAACAGGTTTTGCGAAAACATTGCTGATGGACTTGGCGGGTTTTGCTTGAAAACTTGACTATGATTCTGAAATAATTAGTTTTCTATTAGTTAGATTTGTGTATTTCTGGCATGTTTTTAGTTTTTATATAACATTTTTATAACAACCAAGTAATAATTGGTAAACCTCACAACAGATACTCAGTAAAAAAACTCAGTTTAAAAGATACCAGATTGCTCGCGCAAACGGAAGGTCGGGAGTTAGCGCGTCAATGCCAAACACTTGAAAAATGCTGAAAAACTTATAGTATATTATATATATATTGCGAAATTTATCAAGAACGAGCGCCTGCACGCGGCGAAACCTGCCAGTGGACGGACGGTCGACAAAGTTGCGAAATGACGTTAATAAACGAATGAGAGACGGCCCAAAAGTTACCACAAGCGAAAATTGAGGCATGTTGATTATAAGCATATCTATAAGGTATCTTTGAGGATTCATGTAATGTTGCGTATTCGCGATTATATGTAAGATCATATGATATTAACTCTTATGTGATATATGCGTGGACGTGTAGCCAAATACTAGATTACCTGGAAATGTCAACTTGGCTACTCCTAACCCTGCAGCTAGCAATTCCGTTCTCTCACACGTATCTGGAGTTTTGTCTGCGTCCACTTGTGAGAGGCAGCAGAAAGTGTGAGTCCACGAGTTTTTAATTCTTACGAATAGTGGAGAGTTGCGCTGTAGCTCAGACATAACAGCAATTAATATAAGACATCAAATTTGATATCAAGGAACGTACATGCTTCACGTACACTCCCACCCCGCATTATCTTAGCACGTATTGTAGATGATATTGGCCAGGTGTAACAAATTCTGCCAACAGATCAAGATTTTGGTTCTTGTAAATATAAAAGTGACACAATACACAGTTCACATAGGAAACACTGCATATAATGTAGCATTGTTTGGAAGTAAAATTAGATTTTCTTACTGTTCCTATCGTGGAAGAATGGATTTGCCCTCGGTGGAGCTGCATTGAGGATGGCAACACTGGTCGTGGCACCACGGGTGGTGCCAACACTGAGAATCTCAGCAACTTGCCGAAGCATGCTGGCAGATGGAGTAGTTACAAACAATAGTTACAATACGTAATAGTTACAAACCAATACAACACAATTTTTCCACTAGGGAAATAATGCAGATTGAGTTTGAGTTGGGTAATCTCAACATTAGTATACAGATATGCACAAGCGTTAATAACGAAATATAGTTTTGTCACACTAAAGCAAATGTCGGAACTGAGTACTCAAGCCCACAGCCGAGAAGTAAACAGCAGACTTACACTTGTACGTAAGATTAGATGAGATGGAATAAGATCATACAGTCACATGATTTGGGAACCAGTCAAATATAGGATTTATAGGAATGTTCCCCCAAATATAGGCAACTCCTATAAAAATATAGGAAATATAGAAATTATAGGAGCTCTGGTAGCCATGCATATGAATTCCTTAATTATATGAAGCTAAAACCAATCTCAATATAGCTGCTCATGATGAAACAGCTGGAAGCAGCCTAGAATGCACAGTGGGGTAACTCAAGAGGATTAATGCCCGGAGACACGGTTGTCAACAGCTCAACAGGAATTGCATGTACACTTGAGAGAATTCTCATTGAAAATTCAAGCATATCATTTGTACAATGCACATATCACTCATTAACAGATTATGAGAGATGGAAAGAACGATTACTTTACCGTTGAACTCGGAGAGTTGTAAATCGTTTGCCACCATTAAGGCACCTCACAGATTTGAGCAAGACGTAATTGGGAAGGATTAGCTAGTAAAAAAACCATTTGGGGTTATTGCTGGAAAATGTTTTTGAACTGATATTGGTCCGACAGCTTTGTATAACAAAGATTCTAGATCTAGAAAACCAAATACTGCCGATTGTTTGAGTTCTACAAAGAGAAACTGAATTTAATTCATTTCTCATAATTTTCTCCTATTTACTCACAGACAGATTGACATACGACTCCGTAGGTTAGTCATGATCACCTGCACGCCTCACTGTTGGCATTGAATTGTTGGTCCAGTGACATCAGCAATGAACATTGCATCATTGGAAGCACCCTGTTTGTCATTAAAACATTGAAATTGCTTTAATGATAAATAAAAATAATAGCAGAACACTTTTAAAGCACAGAGTTTTTGATTACCTGAGTGCAGCTCTCCTAAGCATTATAATACTAACCTCAATTTCAGACATGTCCAGGTCATACTGTATCGGGCGGACATAGCAAACAGCTGCATTTAAACAACAGTGTTGTGAGCGTAGGTATAGGCTGGGGTGTATCCAGTGAATGGGGGCAATATAAGCTGTAGACCACGGTTTGCGCCACCACCCGATCTCAGCAGGTCGAATCCGGCCCCAGCCACTTTGGGGAAATGCTCTTCTATGCACTTTACAAATGTAGCTGCGTCACCATTCTTGTCTGTAAAATATATTATTATTTGCGCAGACGTTATATATTTATGTTAGAGAAGATAAGTTAATGTGTTGTGATCGTAGGTAGGCTGGGGTGTATCCAGTGGATGAGGGCAATATAACCTGTAGACCACGGCTTGTACTGTAGCAGGGATTTATAACTTAAAAATGGTGAAATAAAAAAGCATTATTTATATGGTACCATCAAAGGGTACGTAGACCCTTGTACCAGATTGCTCGCGCAAACGGAAGGTCGGAGAATGAACTCTGGGGAGCCGGACAGCAGAGAGCAAGCAACTCTTACTAACTTGCTGCCAATTCCTGCGTACACGCCCATCAGATAAGTCTCTCGGTGTAGTGCGCGACACACCCATCGGGACTGTGATAATATTCCGCAGCCACGCCTGCGCCAGTTCCCACATGCACAAGTACAGAGTCTCCCTACAGTAGATAAACTTCCTGTACCACTCATCCAAAAAAATATACACGCAAATAAAAATTATACGAGTTGACAAAAAACGCGTTATATTAGCATCCTGATTCACACGTTGTAGGTGTTTTTCCTGCGAGATCAGATGTGTTTCCCGTGATCAATTGTGAAAATTGCGTAAAAAAAACTACAGGGCAGGGAGACACCCGCTCGTTGAAATCTTTACGGCACAAAAAGGTATATTTCTGCCAAATTTTGTTGCAAACAACAGTGCAACAGCATAATCCGGGTGAGGAAATTACTGGGAATTTTTTAGACATTTAAAGCCTATCCGGGAGGTGGGATATATTTTCACATAGCGGGCGTTTCACCGGCAAAGTAGGAGTCCACACTGTTCATTTGGGAGTAGACCCCTACTAAGAGGTGGGGTCCTGCCCATGATTTGGGTCCCAATTAGAGGTGGGGTCCTGCCCATTATATGGGTCCCAATCAGGGGTGGGGTCCTGCCCATGATATGGGTTCCATTCAGGGGTGGGGCACAATCCATGGTTAAGGTACCTATCTTGGGAGACCCCCCCTTTAGGGGGGGTCTCTCTCAGGAGCAGTCCTGGCCAACCGGGTTAGCCCTCAGGTATATACAATCGTCGAGGGAACGAATTTCATTCCACGGGTGAGAGACACGACAACCCACCCAGCATTGTCGCTGGATTACAATGTACAGCGTTGCACTGGCAGCCTACGCACGACAGTACCTCAACCCGGCTGGTATCGATTCACTTTGCGGTCACTCGATGGCGCCACTAGCGCTTGCTGATGGTGATCCAGACCTCGTCCTTGGGTCGTGTCACGAGGCCGTGAACGGGCTGCACCACTTGACCGGCGACCAGATGGAACTTGAAGCGACGACAGAGTTCAGACAGCGCCACACCGATCTCAGCATTAGCCAGCCTGCAATAGCATCGCAATGCACGTCTCGTGAAAGAACCCGAACTTACAAAGGTTACCTTCTCTATATTTTGCGTGCAATCCGAGTAGTTAATGAGTCATTCAACTTTGTGCTGAACACACGTTTCTTCTGAAGGGTCGTGAAAGGAACAGAATTTACATGAATTAACAAGTCTATGTTTTTGCATGTAATCTGAGTAGTTAATGGAGTAAATAAAACTATGCTGAATGGTTTCTTTGTGAACACATTAAGTTTTTACCTGTAGCCTGGACATATCCTCTTCCCTGCAAATCCGTATGGTTGGAAGGCATAAGAACTCCTACCTTTGCTGTTTTCGGAACTAAATCGTTCAGGGTCAAATCTGGAATGGTTGTACATGATTTTTATGCTAATTACTAATGAAAAACCTACATATAAACTCCCTAATTGCGCTTGTCTATGCTTACTTGTTGGGTTCAGGCCATATCTTCTCATCATGCATCACTACACCCAGAGCTTGTATTACGGGTGTCTGCAAAAGCAATGTACCATTACTGTAGGCATCACCTACTTCTTTTGACCGGAAAAACTCACGAAAAGCCGTCCCGAAATACGTAACGGAAATCAACGGATAAACACGATTCACATTATGGATTTTCGCATTACAAACGTTTTTTCTGAAATACATTACTTTTTTAATGTGGGGTATTAACTATTAAGGTGTGTTAATGATGTCACAACCATTACCACTACAATAGAACCAGCATTAGCAACACGTGTATACACTCACATTCTTGGGAACAATGTGTCCACCGAGCTTGCTGTCGAAATCCTGCACCCTGGCGGCATGAGGTCCAATAATCGCGCAGCGCAAGGTCTCATCAATTACTTGACGCAGGTAACTGCAGGCGATACATACATTACAATCGCATGAGTCATCATCACGATAAAGGGTCATCATACAGAAAAGATGATTGCAGTCAATCACAAAGGTCCTCACTTATCGTATGATCATGACTCGGACCACAACATCATTATTAGTTAGGTTTAAGTAGCACTGAATCATAAGATGATAGGTGTAATGTTTTAACAGTTTGTTATCGCAATGCATAGGCATGTCACATGGTCACATGGGTGCAGTACAGCTATTGCAGATTTCCTAGAATTTTTATTCATTTTTGCATTGTAGGATTTTTAAGCATTGATAAATTATTGATGCAGTATGTGCTGGTGTTAGTGTGCGTGCTGTTGTATCGAGCAACAAACGTGCAATGTGGCAAAATAGACAGACTGCTATAAAAATGCAAACTTTACATGCACATTTTCTTTTCATCGTTCACATTTACGCACCTGCTATCACTAAATTCCTGCGGGCTCATCACACTGTCCCCTAGCTGGTCTTTTAGTTCCTTGCAGAGTTTTTCTTGAATGTCCTCGTGTGACGCAAGGAAGTAAATCGCCCACGTCAGCGCTGAGTTCGAGGGGAAAAATAATCACGTAAATCAACTTACGATATATCATTCTTCAGTCCGGGAACATGCAGAAAATGGCAGCACAAAGATGGCAGCACTTTACAGAATCCATACACCAAACAGTGGTGGTTAGCAAAACCTACGACCATATGTTAATCTCATCCACTCTAAACGAACTAGAACAGTGCATAAACCCGAGACCCCAGAGATCGGACAACAGCACAGAAAACATTAACAACTCTCAACGTTAACATCACAAGAACGGTAGTGACCTGCGCCAATGCAATAACCCTCGCTACGCGGTGCATTCGCCACGCTCGCGCGGCGCGCACGCCGACACGGACTCACCGATGCCCGTCGTGTGCATCCCGCCCACGGCGTAGGTCAACGCGTCTGCCGTCCGCACGTCGGCGTCCATCTCATTGTCCGGGTCGCGGAGGACATCGAGGAAAAGGCGGTCGCCGCCGCCGCTCGTCGGAGCGTGATCCTCGCGATGCTTCATGGCTGCCTCTATCAGCGCAAACATGCTGTCACGTGCTGCGAGCGCAAACACGAAAACAAGAGAGGTGACCTCTGCCGTACGCTCCGAGTCATGACGACTATGTGATGCTATGCTGTTCGTTATTAGTTTTCTCGTGGGAGAGATCGAAACTAACGGCCGTGCGTGCATATCATTTTAGCTGTAAGCGCAAACACGCAGACACGAAGCATGAAACACAGCAATGAAAGGTTAACATCGCCGTGCCGTACAGACATACTGAACCACGAATAATTGCGCGAGGACTGTGATGCTGTTTGTCACTAGTTTTTTCATGGGAGAGATAGAAACTAACGGCTGTGTGTGCGTACCATCGAGAAACACTTTCTCTCGCTCACTGCCGGGTTCTGGAGTTGTGCCACTGACCCAAGACTCCAGCTCATGCCACGCCTGGAACATAAGTGATGCTTTTGACTACTAACGTAGCATTTCTGATAGTAGGTGTCAAAAAATGTTGCCACAGTGCAAAGAGTAAGTGCATGCAATTGCCCTCCCTACTTGCTGCAGTGGGTCTGGAAACTGGCTGGAATCTACGACAATATTTATATAAGCTACTGTGACTTCGCTATCTGGTTTGCCTCAGTGCTCTTCCTATAAATTGAATGTTGTGTATGCATGCCTTTTAGCCTTACATGAAAAGTGTTATGAACAAGAAAGTTGCCTTTATGCCCCTTTTTTTTGGGAGATTGTTGCCTTGGAGTGCTTTCAATTTGCGTAAAATATCTCAAATATCCTAAATATCTCAAATTTGATAGAAAAAAGTTGAAATTCGACCCCTGTTACTAAGGATTGATGGCTGAAAACATCTATTTTTTCCAAAGCGTCTCCACCACATGTAGAATGTACTCACAAGATCATAGTTTTTCTTGAAGGCCAGAACCTGGCGATCGTCGTTGAAATAGAACCCATATGCGACCTTCAGGAACATCTTCACTGCCAGAGCCATCATGTGTTGTTCCAGCGGTATGTGCTGGTTGGCAGGAAGACTCGCCCACTTCTCACTCAGCTCTTTGCTCAGCTGAGTCCAGACAACCACACAAGTTAGTTAGGTCTGAACCCGATTCACCGATTTCAATTCGTGCAAATGTCAAACGATTCCTTTTATTTCACGTATTATCGTGAAAGAAATTTATGCGAAAAAATGCTATACTGTATACTGTTGATATTCAAAGGTGTTCTATTCTTTAAAGGTGTTTTACTTGGTATAATAAAATTCAATTGAATTGACTATTAAATCATACATTTGAATGAATCAATTCAAACAATTTAATAAAAAAAAATTTATGCAATAGAATTAGAAAGTGCCCATTCCGGACAAGTTACCTTGTGTAATGTGCCATAGTACGTAGCTACAGAATCAGCAGTGAAATACTTGTCCAACATGGTGCGCCTGTGACGTGCTGACGGTCCGTTGGCAAACTGTATCGACTTCTCTGTGAGCAGTGTCTCCAGACTTGCGTACAGATTGGCTGCAAAAGTTGGGCTAACGAAATGACAGCGGCAACTTAAACGCACATCACCAAATTCACAAGGAAATAAGAGTGATAACAGATAAGGACCCCTATAGACAAAGACAGCTATTTTATGGTGCCATCCTGTGCAGCCATCCTTTCTACCTATTTTTTTGCTGTTTCTAAATAACACAAGAACTACTACTACAACAACCCATGTGAAACATAACACCTCCCGTTCACCGAAAATCCACCTTCAACATAAAAAAGATGAACCACGCTCATAATTCTTCACTTTAGCCTATTCTACTAACAAAACGCTCCCAACTTCAATTTCTGCTGCCTCTAACATCATGCCCCGTGGCAACATAGATTCATCATCACACGTAATCAGGTCAGATGTTGGCCATGGAACCACTTTCGGCCCCCCCGCCCGTTACCTGGTCTGTCGAACACGTGCTGCTGCTCCTTGAAGAGATCCGGTGAGGCAATGCTGATCGTGTACTGCGTGCCTCGCCAGAACGACGCGATAGGGCCGTACTTGTCGTGTAGCTCCTGCAGGAACTCGTGCAGGCTGCCGGCCTGGAGTATGTCCGGCAAGTTACCCTCCCTGCAAAAAGAGGAACTCCTTGTAGCATCAGATGCAGAAGTGTAGACGTATACAACGTCTACAAGGCAACTCCTGTCTCGCGTCAATGGACAATACCTCCTCTGTGAGAACAAATAATTTCCGCACGCCCTCGTAATACGACTTCTAGAGTTTAGAACATTTATGGGAAATGTCTGTACAGTGCCTACACTTGGCAGATGTGCTACGACAATCTTGTCGCGTTAATTTACACGACGTGATGAAGCGTTTCCGAGACACAACTAGGATAAACAACAGGTTACTCAGTTGTTGCTTTAACGAGATATTCAGACGAATTTGTAGTGTGATTGGTGATAAATATGTCAATAGCTGATACTTGGTGGCCCATCATGCACATGCAGTCAAGCTTGATTTCACTGACACTGCTGAACTTACTTTGGATCAGCTGGGTCCATTCCCTGCACTGTGGAAGGCCGAGTCCTAGAGCCCTGAAACAGCATTTATACACATGGTGAGAACACGCCTGAGCTGCACACTGATGTTGCAAGTATACGAAATACAAACGGTAAGTTACGATATTTGTTACCCCATAATAACCCTGTCTTCAATGACCTGCCAGCTATTGTAGAAAATTAAATTTTGTATGTGAGAGGTTAGATCTGCATACAGTTTATGAGATTTGATGGGTTAGGCTGATTATACAATACACGAGTTAGGGGGTTACTGTTTAGGTTAAAAATGCAACATCACTCTTTTCAACTTTTGCATCAATATTTTACAGAAAAACTCGGGAACAATTTGTACTCCTCTGGTGCAAGCGTGCGATCGTGTCGCAGATATTAAAAGTAGCTTCCCTTAAACTTTCCACGTAAATTTGTGTAACAAACAACTGTAAAAACGTCAGTAAATAACTCACTACACTTTAACTGAACGTTAGCTTTGAAAATAAAACTGTAAAAATATGTATCAAGCCTATATTTGCTCATCAAAGAAACAATTCGAAAAACGCGTTTCGTCGCGGTTCCGTAGGCGCCATATTGTTTATATTTGAGCAACCATCACTTCAATTGAGTCAATGTAGCCACTTTTAGATATCACAACTTTTAATAGAAATCATTTTATGAAATCAAACTTTGTAGTCTAGAGTCTCTAGACAGAGAGGCACCTCGACTGTTTATGTTATTAATTTAAGAATTTTTACCGTAACCGGTTTCGAGATAGAACGTGCTAAAAACCAACAAAACGTTATCGGAACTAACAGCGACCTGACAGAACTCTCGACTCACTCACTCGTTAACTCGCTCAGAATACTATAATCTCCCAGAAACAAAAACGTTGCGCTTTCCCTATCAGCTAGCCATGTACGTGACCAGAAAAACCATTGGGTCATAACCTGCCAGTGTGTATAATTTTACATAGCATGGTTCATACATACATACATAACACGGCAAGTGTGCGGAGCTGAACAATCGCCGCACAGCGGCAACGGTAAACGCGTTTGAAACATTCGACCCGAACGTTTCACTTTGTAGTCTAAAAGCTTTGAATGAACGTATTCCTGAGGAATTTATTCCTGAGCACCTATCACACATATAGGCAAGTAGAAGGGTTCAAGGATAGAGATGATGTCCAGGACGGTGATAGGATAGGATGATGTTTATTACTAGACATGCTCTCTATCCTTGAGCCAGTAGAAGCATGCAATGTTAAAATAATTCATTTTTGCCTGATTTTATGTTTGCCGCTTGAAAGTTCAAAGGAATAACCCTTTAACAACATAACATAACTACACTTTTCTGGGTTAAAAAGTTATTTTTGTTTATGTTAGGCTGTGGACATACGCCGTACGGATGATACGCCACGGCTATGCTATAACTTGTGTGTGTGTGTGTGTGCGTGTACAAAATTTTAATTTAGTTTTACAATGACAGTGTGACTGTATTATTGTTCGCCTACAAAATCATCATGTATGTATGTATGTATGTATGAACGGGAACCTTTAGATTGGTGTTTCAGGGTTACAGAAACGGAGATAGGCACCGCCCTATAGGTGCGGGAAAGATTTTTTTTACACAATATACAGATAATAAGATACAGCTGTGTGACTTTGACCTGTGATCTCCAATTTCGCACTGGTGATGGGTTTCCTGCCCATCACACTATACACCAAATATTAAGAGCGTAGGTCGAGCCGTTAAGATTTGTGCCGCAATTCCGTATTTCCACGATCCCCCACACGTCCCGAATATCGTGACCGTACGTAGAGCGGTTAAGATTTGTGCCCAAGCTGAGCTGCCAAAGTCGCCATCGCCATCGGAGTCTGGCCTGGTGGCATCTATCCCCAGCGCACCAAGATACTCTCTAAAAATATATATATTTCACATCCTCTATACAGTTTGTTTGATTTTTAATCGTTTAGTAATTTTCTCATATTTACTCACAGCCAGGTTGACATATGACTCCGTAGGGAACAGGTCAATGCCAAACACTTGAAAAATGCTGAAAAAACAACGTCCAAACTGCTCATCTGCTTATCAGTCAGCAAATAGAGACCGTGAAAGTGCTACCTACCAGTAACCCCCTACTGTAGCAGGGATTTATTTACAACTTAAAAATGGTGAAATAAAAAAGCATTATTTATATGGTACCATCAAAGGGTAAACCAATGTACTAGAATTATCGCCTCGCATGCGGAAGGTCGTGAGTGAACCCAGCGCACCAAGATACTCTCTAAAATTATATATATTTCACATCGTCTACACATTTTGCTATGCTAGACACACCTCAACACCCTCAACCATCTGTAGTTGCTCTCTTTCAATACAAATAAATCTTGGGGGGATAGTAGGGAGTTTCTGAAACCTGTATCCAGCAGAGGCGTAGCTTTGCTGCTCAGCAGTAGTGCAGATCGGCTGCACGTCAGAATCAGCGATCGGCTGTTCAGTCTGCTCTTCCGCACACAAATCTTCCAATGGGGTTGTGACGGTACGTCGAGCGGTTAAGATTTGTGCCAAACTGTTGATGCACGCACGCACGGACAATCATGCGATTCTACAAGCTGCATCTGACTACGTCAGATGAGCTAAAAATACATCATAAATGGAGCAAACACATATATGAATGCAGAATGCTCACCTAGGCATATCGCTGGGAAGGATTAGCTAGTAAAAAAAAACATTTGGGGTTATTGCTGGAAAATGTTTTTGAACTAATATTGGTCTGACAGCATTGTATAACAAAGATTCTAGATCTAGAAAACCAACACTGGACGTGGTACCACTGAGAATCTCAGCAACATGCCGAAGCATGCTGGCAGCTGGAATTGAAGCGGCAACAGCCAAACCAACAGGCCTAACCACAACAGTATCCACCATACATTTCTGACGCTGTTTGCTGAGATACTTCACACAGTGACACACACACACACAAAACAATTTAGAGCCAAATAAAATTGTGTTGCATAGGCTTAGTTGTACTTGTTGTGGATGGCTACGCGGTCTTCCATGTTTGTACTACTATTCCTTCCTGTTCTGCTTCTTTCTCTTATGCTGCTCTTCTAAATTAATAAAGAAACTAACAAAAGATGTCTCTCTACACCAATGAAACTTATTTCCAACGATAGATAATTAGTCCAAGATACAAGATAATAGATAATTAGTCGCTAACAACATGCGGATTATCGCGTAGCACAGCTGAGCCGAGGAACTTGAAATTCGACACGCACTTCGAAATTGCGGCTACCCTAACTGGACAATTGAAGACACAAAACGGAAAATAGAAACAAAGGTGACCAACAACTTGAAAAATAAGAATGACTTGAAAACGAAAAATTGGGGGTTAGTTATCATTCCTTACATCAAGGGCATGTCCGAGAGGTTAGCCCCCACCTTAAGAACATTCAACATCTCTTTAGCTTTCAAACCCCACAAGACCATCAGGAACATTTTAGTTAATCCAAAAGATAAAATTGAAAACAAAAATACTACATGACGTGTATACCGTATCGCCTGCTCGAACTGTGACAGCGCGTACATTGGGGGAATAGGCAGAACATTTGGCACACGTTTAAAAGAACATACGACTGATGTCAATACTCGCACAAAAGGAAAAATGGAAGGACTTGAAAAATGCTGAAAAAATAATGTACACACTGCTTATCTGCTTATCAGTCAGCAAATAGAGAGACCGTGAAAGCGTAACCCCCTACTGTAGCAGGGATTTATAACTTAAAAATGGTGAAATAAAAAAGCATTATTTATATGGTACCATCAAAGGGTAGACCCTTGTACCAGATTGCTCGCGCAAACGGAAGGTCGGGAGTTAGCGCGT